AAGGGGGGGGGGGGGGGGGGGGGGGGGGGGGGGGGTGCTCGTGTTGTTGCACTTCGCCCCGAGTGTCGAACCAACCACCGAACTTGTTGCTTGTCTCACACGCTTGTTGCCAGCTCGGTTTGACCTCTCGCTTGTTCCCGTGTCACACGGCCGTGACACCACACGAACACGCCTCCCCCTCCAAAACCAGCCTGCAAGTGCTGGAGCTGACGGACGTCGCGCTGGATGACAGCATGCTGGCCGTCCTCGGCGAGGCCTTCTCCTCGGCGCGGCTGCCGCCAGCAGCCGTGAAAGGAGCGGCGGCAGCAGCACGCGCAGAACCGTACAACACGTTTTTTCCGAGCGCGAATGCCGTCGCCGCATCCCAGCAAGACGGAGGAGAAGGAGACGTGGCGGTAGCAAGCCTGAGGACCCTTGTGCTCGGGCGCTGCGGCGGGGTTTCCGAACCGGCGTTCGAGGCGTTTCTTGACCTTGTCGCGGGGTGCGGGGTGATCCGGGCGGGGTTGGTCGGGAAACGCGGCAGTGGCAGCGAAGAACGTGGCGGCAGCATCAGGAGAAGAAGGAGCGGCGGGGGCAGTGATGGAGAGGATGGAGCGGCGGTGGCTGCTGCCTCCGCTGGCGGCGGGCTCGCGCTGTCGAGCGTGCGATTGGAAGGGTGCAGGGCGCTGGGGAACCGGGGGCTTGCCTTGCTGTGCGGTGGCGCGAGGGAGCGACTCAGCGACATCCAGGTGGGGTGGGGCGGATGCTTGCTGCATTGGCTTGGTCGGTATGATGCTTGGGTTAGCGGTCTGCCTTTAGACTGGGGTCACACATCAATGACGTCCGGGAGATCGATCGACTGATGTGTATGTTTTCTTTTTTCTGTTTTGCACGGAGTGGCACCACTCGTCTTCCCTGCTGGTGTCTCCTTTTCAGCGGTTGAACCCCTTTTGTGGCCGACGCCTCCGTTGGTTTTTGGGGAGCGGGTGGGGCAAAAAGCTGAAGGCACGAGATGCAGCAGCAGCAGTTCGCCTTCTTTTCTTGACGGCGGGGGGGGGGGGGGGAGGGAA